AAATAAAGATAGGGGTGAACTAAAAATGGCGGAAGAGGAAGTGGATGCTGCACGGACATCCTCCCAGGAACAAACTGGAATTACAAGTAAAATTCAGAAAAACTTCCTGAATAATCAACGGAAAACTTGCAGGAGAGAAATCTGATACCCGAGTTCCGAAAGTGGAGATCACATAAAGACTGATTTATTTTGTATATTGTAAAAATAAATAAATAAATAAAAAAGAAAAGGAATACAGATATATTTGAAAAAATAAGCAGAGAAAAGAAAACTAAAAAGAATGAGCCAAGTGATCTGGAAACAAAATAAAAATACAATACTAAAATAAAACCTGTAACTGAAATTTAAAACTCAATAGGTGGGCTTAAGGCTGATCAAACACAGACACGGATAAAGAGAGAATCAGTGAACTAAAAGATATAGAAAATGGCATTTCAGAGACTGTAGCAGAGTTTTAAAGAGATAGGAACTTAAGAGAAATTAAGGGGAAAAGAAGATAACGTGAGATGATTTCATACAATACACATCTACACAGAGTTTTGGAAAAGAAAGAGAATGGGACAGTATTTTAAGAGATAACAATTTTTCAGAATCAATAAAAACAAAAAGCACAACATATCTCAAACTAGATAAATAAAAACTACAATCAACACATCACAGTTAAACTACAGAATACCAAAGACAAAAATAGGATCTTTAAAGCAACCAGAACAAGATAGATTACCTTCAAACTAGAAATTAAGATAGATGACTTTTCAAAATCAACAATGGAAGCCAAAAAAACATCTTCAATATGTTGAGCCCAACCAGTGGGGCTCAGTGACTGAGCATCGAACTATGAACCAGGAGGTCACAGTTTGATTCCAGGTCGGGGCACATGCCCGGGTTGTGGTCTCGATCACCAGTGGGGGCATGCAGGAGGCAGCCGATCAATGATTCTCTCTCATCATTCTCTCTCCCTCTCACTTCTCTGAAATCAATAAAAATATTTTCTTTAATGTTGAAAATATAATTAACCAACCTAGAATTCTAAACCTAGGGAAATTATTTTTAAAAGAGGGAAAACAAGAAATAAATTTTCCAACCAGCAAACACACATTAAAGAAATTTTTTTTAATCTTCACCTGAGGATATTTTTCCCATTGATTTATAGAGTGGAAAGAAGGGAGGGAGGGGAGAGAGCGAGGGAGAGAGAAACATCGATGTGAGAGAGGCACATGGATTGGTTGCCTCAGCCACCTGCCAGACTAGGGCAGAAATGGAACCTGCAACCGAAGTATGTGCCCTTGATTGGGAATTGAACCTGAGGCATTTCGGTGCTAAAGGAAAATTTTTAAATGTATTTTAAACATATGTGACTCTAGGCACAGAAGAAAGAATGAGCAAAGAAAATGTTAAATAGATGGGCAAAATTAGACAAATACTGGCCCTTGTATATCAGGGAGAGGGTAAAGACATTTGTTAATTTTAAACATTGATAAGAATTCATGTTACAACTACTAAAGGATCCATTATGATAACAGAAACTTAGTAACTAACTTTCAAACTAGTAAAAAAGGTTATACAAAAAATAATCAAGAGTCAAGAAAGAAAAAAGAAACAAAGGAAATCCAAGTATCAATAATCATTTAAAAAAAAGGGGGGGGGGGAATGAACTACATGTTCTATTTAAAAGACTAAGACTGTCAGACTAAATTACAAATGAAATTCAGCTCTAAAGACATGAATGAGGTATAGAAACACTGGAAAAATGAAAAATACTATAAAAGCATTATAAAAATAAAGATGGTGTGGCTATAAATATAGACAAAAATAGCCTTTTAAAAACAAAAACAAAAAATAGCCTTTTAGGCAAAAACATTATAGAGATAAAGAAGGTCACTACATGATAATGAGAATAATGAGTCAATTCCCCAGCCTCAAAGTACTTAAAGCAAGCACTGAAAAACATTAGAATAGTGGCAGGTTTTAACAAACTTCTCAGTAATAGATCAAGCAGATCAGAAAATGAAGGAAGATATGAACATAAAAAGTTTGATCTAACAATCCATGTTTCTTTCAAACATATACATAACAGTTTTAAAAATCTGTCATATGTTAAACAATAAAGAAGTCTATACAAGTATTTTCAAAAGACTGGTATTATATAGATCTCATTCTCTGACAATGTAATTAACTTAGAAATCAGTAACAAAAAAATACAGCTAGAAAACCTACATGTTTGGAAGTTAAACACTTCCAAATAGCCTACAGGTTAAAGAAAAAGAATTTTTTAATATTTACAACTGAATTTTAAAAATTTACACATTACAAACTACTGAGATGTAGCTAAAGTAGAAATTTCATAGCCCAAAGGGATCTTAACAGGAGAGAGGCTAAAAACTAAGGAGTTTTAAAAGCTACAGATTTATTTCTGGGGAAATTTTTTTAAAGGAGAGTTCGTTTTATCACTGCTATACATAATTTTTAAAAAGGTAAGAGAGGCCCTATCCGGGTTGGCTCAATGGATAGAGCATGGGCCTGTGGACTGAAGGGTCCCTGGTTCAATTCCGGTTAAGGGTACATGCTTAGGTTGTGGGCTCGATCCCCAGTAGGGGGCGTGCAGAAGGCAGCCAATCAATGATTCTCATCATTGATGTTTCTATCTCTCCCTCTCCCTTCCTCTCTGAAATCAATAAAAATATATTATTAAAAAAAAAAAAAGGTAAGAGAGTCCCAGGTTTGGCTCAGTGGATAGAGCATCAGCCTGCAGACCAAAAGGTCCCAGGTTTGGTTCAGGTCAAGCACGTACCTGGGTTGCAGGCTCCTCTCTGGCCTGGGCCCGGGCCTTTGTAGGGCCTGTGCAGGAGGCAACCAATCGATGTGTTTCTCTCACATCAATGTTTCTCTCTGGTTTCCCCTCTCTCTTCTACTCTCCCTAAAAACTAAATCAATGGGAAAAATATCCTTGGGTGAGGATTAACAAAAAAAAAAAATTAAGAAATTAAAATCAATAAGGTAAGGGATTCTTAAGAACAAATTTTTAAAATATTTTTTAATTGATTTCAGAGAGAAAGAAAGAGGGAGAATGAGAAACATCAATGATGAGAATCATTGATTGGCTGCCTCCTGCATGCCCCACACTGGGGATTGAGCCTGCAACCCAGGCATGTGCCCCGACCAGGAATTAACCGTGACCTCCTGGTTCATGGGTCGACACTCAACCACGAAGCGACACCGGCCAGGCATCTTAAGAAAAACTGTTTGTCTGTTTGTTTTGTTAACCCTCACCTGAGGATATTTTTCCATTGATTTTTAGGGAGAGTAGGAGAGGGAAAGACAGAGAGAAACATCGATGTGAGAGAAACACATCCATTGATTGCCTCTTGTACACACCCCAATCAGGACCCGGGCCGGGGAAGAGCCTGCAACCAAGGTATGTGCCCTTGACTGAAATCGAACCCAGGACCCTCTGGTCTTCAGGCCAATATTCTATCCATTGAGCTAAATTGGCTAGGGCAAGAATAATTTTTAATAAACTTTTACAACTTACAGGAAATGGACACATTACTAGAAAAACATAGTTTATGTAAAATGCCTTAACCAGAAATAGAAAGAAAAGAAGAGTCACAAAAGAAAAAAAAAGGAACAAAACAAACGAACAAAAAGAAATAGGACAGTCAGTAGTTTAAAACCTTCCCAGAAAAAAGACTCCATCCAGGCCCAGACACTTTAACCAGCAAGATTTATCAAATATCCCAGCAATGATTCCAATGTTGACCTATTCCAGAAAATAAAAAAAGGAAACCACTCCCCAACTCATTTTGAGCATCACAACCTTATACTAAAACTTGGCAAGCAAAAGATAGGTAAAAAATTAAAGGCTTTGAACCCAGATGAAAAATTCTAAACAAAGCATTAGCAAACCTTTATTTATGAAGGTTTTAAATTGCCCAAAATGCAAGAACTCAAATGTCCCCCAACTAGTAAATGGATAAAGAAACTGCATAGCCATACAATAGAACACTCAGCAATAAAAAATAACAAACTGCTATTATATACAACCAAATGGATGAATCTCAAATACACTATGCCAAGAGAAAGTAGCTAGAAGCAACCTAGGCATGTACCCTAGCCAGAAATTGAACCCTCAACCTTTGGTATATGAGACAATGCTCCAACCAACTGAGCCACCCAACCAGGGCTACATGACATTCTTGAAAAAGCAAAACTGTAAGGACAGTAAAGAGATCAGCAGTTACCAGGTGGGCTAAGGGTTTGGGAAGTGAGAGACTGACTACAAAGTGGCATGGAGAAATTGGTAGGGGTTAATGGAACTATTCCATATCTTAACTGGAGAGTGGTGGTGATTACCCAACTGTCTGCATTTGTCAAAATTCAAAAAACTACATATGTAAAAAAGGATAAATTTTACTGTGTATAAATTAGACATTTATAAAAAGAAAAATTAACAAACCAAATCCATGATGTATAAAAATGATATATCAATGAACTAGCTGGATTATCTCAACTACACAAGGGTAGTTTAACACTACAAAATCAATTAACATAATCCACTACACTAATAAATTAAAGAAGAAATATTACATGCATGCTCTTCTCAATAATGAAGAAAAAAGATTTGATAAGCTTCAACATCCATTTCATGCTGAAAATCTCAAACAAGCAATAGGGGAAAGGAAAAAAAACAACTTCCTTTACCCAACAAGGGACAGTACCTACAAAAACTTAAACATGTTTAATGGTAAATGTCAAAAGTATTCCCTTTAAGTTTGGGAAAAAAGGTGCCCACTATTACTTATACTAAAAATTGTATAAGTTTTTAAAAAAATAGAATGAAATAAACACCTTCATTCGATAATATAACTATGTAGAAAGTGCAAAAATAATTCAGATAAATTATTAGAATATCAATGAAGCATGCCAGCAAAATAGGTAGGTAGGTACACCTTTAGAAATACAAGACTCTTATACTTAACTGAAGTGTTTAATTCCATTACCTTGACTGGATTCAGTAGCGTCAGATTTCAGGGAAAGTTGTTTTGTTCCATCTTTAACTTTTTTCAACCGGTTCTTATCTCCTGGTAAAGTCAATTTTTGCCTGAGTGGTTTTAATTCAAATGCCTGGAAAGTTTTGACCTGTGTTTTCTCCTCAGGAGCTAATTCTTTACTTGAGTCCTTTATAATACTGACATTTTCAGTGCTTGTTTGGTCCTCAGAGTTCAATGTTTTTGGATCTTCCTGCACATTCTCTTCTTTGCTACTCAAAGCTAGTTTTTCATCCTTATTGATGCATTCTAGTTCCAATTGTATTTGTTTGTACTTCAAAAGTAAATCTTCAAAAGTTTCTTCCCCACAGTTTTCACTTTTTGATGAATAATTTTTTCTTGATGGAGATCTTCCAAAACTTTTGGCTGAACAGCATATTAAGGAAACCAGTTTCCAAAAACTTTCCAGTTAATTTAACAAAAACACATTAAGTTATAGATGAGTTGTCTCCCTTTTTTCAAGATGAAGTGATATTTTTAAATTACTAAATTCCACTTTAATATATATGCTGCTAATGCCCACCTTCATTCTGTGCCCATATTTCAAATTTAATAAATATCCATTTAAATAGTCCACTTACAAAATCACTAGTGTCAATTATTACCCGTAGTATCCACAGATATTCCATCTGGTTAGGTTATAACATCCTTCCTTCTGTAGGTATCAGGAAAGCCCATAATGAGCTGATGTTAAGATTCCTTTCTGAAGCAAGAGGGAAGAAACTGAATGGTTTGTCACAGATGTGGATAATTTACACTTCAGATAATCAGGAGGAAAATTTCTTCTTTTTAATTAGTTTCTTCTCATGTCTCAATTTTTAAAAAAATAGAGATAAAAAATGAACACTGACAATTAAGACTGATTTATGAATAAGAAACATTTGCTTAAAAACCTAATACATAACAATCTTCGAGCTCATCAACTATACTAACATCTAACACATGCATAAACTAAGACAATGAAGGCAGTTTTACGATAAAAAAATAAAACTCTTAAATAGTATTCAAAAAGTATCTTCTAAACATTTCCCCTAAACATAAGGATACCTAAACCAATTATTTTAGTTATTTTCTTCTCTAACATAGTGATAAACACAGTACAACTTCTTTCTTGGAAATGGCTACAAAGTTCCAAACTATAAATTTTATTCAAAATAATTCATACATATGAGAATTGTTACACCTCCCTTTTCCAGCCTACAAATTAACAAGAGAAAAGTATTTAATGTGACTTTAATACAATGTCATCTACAGATCATTTGAATTGGCTAGAATATAGCATTAGTTACCAAATGTTTCTTCTGTTTAATAACTTACACGACAAGCAACTTGCAAAGATTTTAAACTTCTCTAATGACCAATTCAAGAATGGGAATCAACACCAAATATTTTAGAAACTAAACAAGAATTACAACTTAAAATCTTAATGGTTCTAGCAAAAGTTTTGGTAAATATTTGTTCTCTGATCTCTTCAGAGCCACGTTTCTTGAAAGAACACTAGTGCAGTGGTTCTCAACCTTGGCTGCACATTAGAATCACCTGGGAATTTTTTTTAAATCCTGATTTCTGGGCCTCATCCTCTGGAAATTCTGTTTCTTTGTTATGGGGTGAGGCCACATTAGTAACAAAGAAACAGAATTTCCGGAGAATGAGGTCCAGAAATCAGGATTTTAAAAAGATTCCCAGGTGATTCTAATGTGCAGCCAAGGTTGAGAACCACTGCACTAGTGTCTCATTACCTATCTTATACACTCTTCAACCCAATGGCATCTGGCTTCTGCTGGCCGAGTTTACCCACCACTTTTTACCTGACCTCTCTGTAGCATTAGACACTAAGCCACTTCTCTCTTGGCTTCCATAACTTCTTTCTCCACTTGTTTCCCTACATTTTTTTTCCCCCTTTAAGTTTTCTTAACTCCAGTAATGGTGCTCTCCATGGTAACATATAGCCTCTCTTTTTATTTTGAGCATTCTAATGCATTCCCATAGTTTTACATACTATGAGAAGCTTGGCCTAGAACAAATATTTGGAGTTCTTCCACAAGTCATCCCCGATACTGCTGCTAGACTAATCTAGAATATAAATCTGGTCAGATCTCTTCCCTTTTTTGTATCTCACCAAAAACAGACTCCAAAATCCTTATAATGGCATATAATGCCTTCATTTGACCTGTACTTCCTTTTCCAATCCACCTTTCCCCTGTTCATCACAATTTATGCATAGCTTTGTGTCTAGGTTTTTCTGTTCTTCAAATTGACCCCAATTCAAATGTCACCTATTTGAAGCCAGAAAATTATGTGCTACCCCACCATTATGTATTCTTTGTACATAAATGCTGTAATTAACTGCATTTACATCTCACTTTTCAATGGAGCTATTTAAAGGCACAGCCCCAGTAATTAAAAAAATAATAATGACATAACATTGGAAACATTTATAGAAAGAAGATTCAATACACTTAATAAGAAATAAAATAACCAAAGGACTGAAAAATGAGGAAAAGTGAGTTATGATTTTAACTGACTAATCCTCAAGGCTCAATGAAATCTTATTTTAAATTTTTATTTTTATTGATTTTAGAGAATGGAAGGGGGTGGGGAGAGAGGAAGAGAGAGAAACATTAATTTGTTGTTCCACTTATGTAGGCATTCATTGGTTGCTTCTTTTATGTGCACTAACTGGGGATCTAACCCATAACCTTGGCGTTGGTGACAATGCTCTAACCAACTGAACTACCCAGCAGGGCTGAAATCTACTTCTGTCTATGCAGAACAGCTAAAAGCAAACACTTAAAGGATTTAATTTTAAGCTGGCCAGGATGCAATTTCTAGCTGAAACCTGGTTTTAAAAACAAACTACCTGTCAACCTTTACAACTACAGGTGAAAATAGAATGACTGTCTACTGATGAGAGACACTGGCCTATATTTTAGCTCTCATCAGATTTAAAGGTTTAAAACAGTAGTCAACCAAAGGAGACATATGCTAAGACTAAGTGTCCATCACTAAAAAAAATTAAAAGTGAATGAGAATGCCCTGGCAGGTGTTGCTCAGTTGGTTGGAGCATCATCCCGTAGTCTGGAAGGTGTGAGTTCAATTCCTGGTTACATCGATGTTCCTCTCTCCCTCTCCCCATCTCTCAAATCAATTAAGAATGAAAATAAGTACTGGCCCTAGCTGGTGTGCCTCAGTTGATTGGGCATCATCCCATGCACCAAGAGATGCGGGGCTCCATTCCCAGTCAGGGCACATGCCTGGGTTTCCAGCTCCATCCCCAGTAGGACAGGACGCAGCTGAATGTTTCTTCCACATGATGTTTCTCTCACTTTCCCCCCCTCCCCCCTCCCTCACTAAAATCAATTTTAAAATATTTTTTAAAGACAGTTAAGTACTGCAGTAGGATTTGGTTTATTCTACTTCTTTTAAGCTACATCTAGCATACCTTAATCATTACAAAGAAAGAAGTTTTAAAAAAAACACCACCAACCACCTGTACTCATGCTGCTTCACTTCTAGATTATGGAAATGAGCCACAGAAAAACACTTATTCTTTCTGAATGCAAAACTTGTAAAATAAAAATGTCATTATTATAATTAACAATGGAAATATGAATTAAACTCAGTACAATCTTGGTCTTAAAGACATCTGAATGGGGGGGCCGGGGGAGAGGTTAAGGGAGGATGACTGGGGGGAAAAGGGGACATCTAATACTTTCAACAATAAAGATAATTTTTTTAAAAAGAAAGAAATTTGAATAAAATTTCACATTACAAATTTTGTTTGCTCATGTTATACAAAAGTGGCTGGGAACTATGATTTTCTTCACAAATTCTTAAAAGAATACCACCTCTAGGATGTATTAATGATACTTCACAAGAAAAGCAATTAGCAGAGGATCAAAACAAGCATCCTTTTCTTAAATGCAGCATCTGTGAAAAGAAAAAACATCAAGACAGCTCATTTCTAATAAGTTAATAAAGAAATCAGACTGGTTACTTTTTTTCACAACTTCATATACCTGTTTATTAATAAAAACATTAACTTAATAAAGGTATATGGCAGAGGCCAAGTTGATATTAAATGAGTGTACAGAAGGAAGGCAAAGGAAAAAGGTAGGGAAACACACTCATCACCCCCTTTTCTACAGAATAATTTAAGAATAAACTTTGAGTTCCCATAATCCTTTTTCTGTACCTCAATTTGAACTTTTTACATTAAACTAATTGTTTAACTCCATCTCTCCAACACAAATTACAAGTGTCATTTTTTCTATTCTTAAAAAAATATATATATGTGCTTAAATACCTTTCTGTTTTTAGATTCAGAATTGACAATGAACAAATTCTTAGTTAATAAATAGCTCAGGCAGGGATTTTAACTTTATTGAAAAACATCCTGTCACTTTAAAAGTTAAATACCTACATGATTTTCTCTGAAATAATCCTGGAATGTTCCTAACTCAAATTTTGGTTGCCAATGTAAGTTTTTACAAGGCATTAGCACCAGAAGCTGCTGCTACTTACCTAACCTACATTTCTTGTCCCCTTTGTATCTTGACATCTAAAAAAGACCATATGGCTCTAATATAAAAATGTTGAGTGCTTTCCAAACAAACATCATTATATGTAAGTTTCATATATAATAACTTTACTAACAAAATCATTATACCGTGGAAATTGCAACCAATAATAAAGGTGCCAAGTAAACTACTTTTATGTAGTTATCATGGAATAAGCAAGACATAGTTCTACCAACCCATCACAAAACAGCAAAACTTCAGGTGACTGATTACTCAGTATAAATACTGTGTAGACTCAGGAATGTTAAAGATAACGAAGAATAAGGTTAGAGGAAACAAAAATCAGGTATTTTGCTTCTCAACCTCTCCACATCTCCACGCTCCTACACATCCCTATGGCTTCCCATATGTTAAAAATTAAAATGCTGTTAAGTTTATCCTTCTCTTTCTGACCCAATCTGTCAGCACTAGGAATTATAAAATGTCCACAAAGTAAACGTAAGAAATAGAGCAGTTAAGGAGGTAAAGTTTTCCAAGAAGATACATGAATTTAAATCCTCTGAATTAACAGAGTTGGTGAAGATAATATATGGTCCTTCCCCCCCCCCCCCACTTTAAAAGACACCAATATATAAGAATAAATCAAGAACGGTAAAAACAAAATCACAAACAAAAACGGTAAGATGATGCAGAATGAAACTTCACAATTTACAATATCAAAATATAATACGATTTACAATATCAAAAGTGTAATACGTCCTGAGGTCTGAGGTTCAAGAACCTCTGGAAGACAGCCTCTTGGTACTTTCTCCCTCAATAAAAGTGTTGTTTAACGGCAAAAAAAAAAAAACCCCAAAACACTATTCCCCAAATCGTTTGTCTATATATAATTTTCCTCTCCCTCTAACAGTCCAAGTTAACCTCACGTATTAAAGTTTCTGTACCAGCAAAGACAAATGCTAATAAAACGTGGACTTCTGAGGTCCGTTTACAAACCTGACCTTAGACTGTTAGATTCCACAAGCTTGGCCCCAAACAATGACTCGGTCCTGTTAAAAGGCAATATACCCAATAAAGCAATCCTGAGAAACACTACTACAGCATGACACATGGGGATTGCCAAAGAACAACTTACCGTAAGTAACCAACGAGCGGCTCTGGCGGCGCAGAGAAGTTACTCATCCCGCAGACCTAGGAAGGACGCTAAAGGGAAACTCTAGTGACACACCCAGGGCCGAGCGCCACGTTAAGGATACAACTCTTGCGAGGTGGAGAGGGCTCCCGCCAGCTCTGGCTGCCGTTGAATCCGGACCCCGGTCCTCCACCCAGCGGGGGTCTGCCCCCCGGCTTGCCTCCTCGGTCACCCCCGCCACGACCCCGACTCCAGCGACTCCCACCCCGATAAGGCCGGCCTCGAAAGCGGAAACGGTCCAAAGCGATGTGGCTCCGTTCCCAGAAGGACGGCCGAGGGCTGCTCTCGGACAGCGAGCTCGAAGGCATCCGCACGGAAGGCTGGTGAGAGCGGAACGGCTCTTTGGGTCGGTAGCTGCTGTGTCCCCGGAGGTGGCCCCGCTCCGACGGGTGCCGCGAGCGTGAGAAATTCCTCAGCTGCTGCTGCTGCTGCGAAGAGGACGATGACGACGAGGAGCCACCGCCTCCGCCGGATCCACCGCCCCGGGCCGGGTGAGGAGGCCTCCGCCGCGGATACGGCAACAGCCCGCAGCCACTGCTACTGCTGCTGCTCCGGCTCCGTACCTGGCTGTTATCGTCGTCGCTGATCTCCCCATCTTCTAGCTCCCCTTCTTCCTTGGGCGACAGGCCACTGGACGCTGCGGCCGGAGGATCTGCGGTCGCCATCCCGGGAGCAGCGCCTTCCACACAACCGGAGTCCTCCGTCCGGGGAACCGCCCGACAATTACCTTCCTCCTCGGTCCCTTCTTTCCTAACGGACCCGGTCAGTGCGGCCTTACCCTACTCGGACACCTAGCGGGCTGTGCTCCCCAACTTCCCGGCACCCCAGCTCTCTCTCTCGCCGGACCGTCACAACCCAGTTCCCTACCCTAGCGCCCCCTTGCTCCTCCGCGAATGGAGCTCTTCCGCCTCGCGAGAAAGGGGCTCGGAAAGTGGCCCACGACGTCACTTCCGACGGAAGGCCGGAAACCAGGCTCTCAGTTCCCGCGATAACGAGGAAGACCACGCGATTCTCAGTGGGACTTGTAGTTTTTCCTTTCCTGTTTTAGGGGCTGTCCTTCCAGTCTACAACTCACACCCACCTCGGACTGGATTGGGATATCTGGGTGCGTGTTGGAATGGGCGGGTCTGTTCTTAATCTCGGCCTCGAGAGTGTATCATAGTAGGGGGCGGGGAGGTGGATGGTATCTCTTTTTTTTTTTTTTTTTGCTCCAAGGACAGGTCCTAAAGAGACGCAGTAGTCCCTCTCCCCTTTGGGGGCCAGGGAGGGGACCGGGTTGTGTCCGCCATGTTGGTGAAGGCAAAGGAAGGCGACTGGCGCTGCGGGACTGACGGCTCTGCGGGCTCAAGTCGGCCATATTCATAGAGGGAAGGTGGATCCCTACCCCCGACACACACACATCCGCGCCCCTGCTGCCCACCCCGCCCCGCGACTCTGCTCGGCGGGCCTTTCCCCTGCCTCGCTGGCCCCGCGTAGCCGTCAGCGCCTCAGGACGGGCTCACGACGGCGCCGAATGAGGGGGGAAGGGACATGCCGACCAATTGCGCCGCGGCGGGCTGTGCCACTACCTACAACAAGCACATTAACATCAGCTTCCACAGGTAACCTGGGCGGGGAGCGGGGGTGAGAGCCGTTAGATTGAATATTGCTTGTGTCGAAGGAACACGAGGATTCTGCGAATTCTGATCCCTTCACTACCTAGTCCTTGGGGGTAGCAGGGAAGCATTGTGTTTTCCCTTTGTGTGTTGCTCAGATCTGCCCAGTATTTTTCCCCTTGGGGAAGATGTACTTGCTTTATAAAAGAAATCCGAGTTCTGTATGCTGATTACTCCTTATAAAAGTGACAGCCGGATACCTTCATTTTCTACTCTTTTACTCCTGTGTATTAGACTGGACTTGACATTAATGACTCCGTAAGAAATCTTCCTGTTCAAGCCGGCAATCACCTTAAAGCGGAGGTTCTCAACCTGTGGGTCGCGACCCCTTCACAGGGGTCGCCTAAGACCATCGGAAAACACATATAATTACATATTGTTTTGTGATTAATCACTATGCTTTAATTATGTTCAATTTGTAACAATGAAAATACATCCTGCATATCAGATATTTACATTACGATTCATAACAGTAGCAAAATTACAGTTATGAAGTAGCAATGAAAATAATTTTATGGTTGGGGGCCACCACAACATGAGGAACTGTATTAAAGGGTCGTGGCATTAGGAAGGTTGAGAACCACTGCCTTAAAGCCTACTGTGTTCCCATTAAAATCAGGAAATTCTTACTAGCTGAATTGACATGAGAAGCATTTGGATTTTTTCTGATAGTCCCATGCAGTAACTCTGCAGAGGAGTTGAGTCATCATTGATGATAATCATGGAATTAAGCTATATTAAATGAAAGTGCAAAAGATATGCTTTCTATTCTTTTTTTAAAAATATATTTTATTGATTTTTTACAGAGAGAAAGGGAGAGGGATAGAGAGTTAGAAACATCGATGAGAGAGAAACATCAATCAGCTGCCTCCTGCACATTCCCTACTGGGGATGTGCCTGCAACCAAGGTACATGCCCTTGACTGGAATCGAACCTGGGACCCTTCAGTCCGCAGGCGGATGCTCTATCCTCTGAGCCAAACCAGTTAGGGCTATGCTTTCTATTCTTACTAACAGTAATAAAAAGAACCTAAGTGTTCTTCCTTACTTTGCTGGAAAAGCAATGAAAATTCTTTTTTTTTTTAATGTATTTTTATTGATTTCAGAGAGGGAGAGAGAGAAAGAGAAACATCAACGATGAGAGAGAACATTGATCGGCTGCCTCCTGCACACCCCCTACTGTGGATCAAGCCTGTGCCCTTGCCCGGAATCGAACCCAGGACCCTTCAGTCCACAGGCTGACGCTCTATCCACTGAGCCAAACAAGGTAGGGCCAATGAAAATTCTTTAGTTCTCTCAAATCAGAACTCTTGAAAGCACTTTGAACACTACATGAAATACAGTAAATAAATGTTTACCTTCTCTGCAAGTGCCTGCCATGTGACTGAAGAAAAGAAGCATTAAAAAAGTTAAGTGTAAACAGTTCTGATTTTATATACCTCACAACTTAATACATTCATAGGATGTAGAAAATTATATTCTTGACCTTTTCCCTGCCTCATGATGACTAAATGTACCCCCTTATTAAAAGTTGCCACTTTAAAAAAAATCTTTGTGATGTTTCTGTTTTCAACTACTTCATCAAATGTACTGTTTTGTTCATCTATCAAATGTGTACCAAGTTCTTACTTGCCTGACATCATGCGAGAGATCCAGAAAATTCTTATATTCTTGAAGTTTAGAGTATAATAAAAAAGAAAGACAAATATAATTGCAGTTAGGTGTCACAGAAAAGACATTCAGGGAAAACTAACTTAGCCTTTAAAGCCAAACTAACACTTCTCAAAGGATGTGAAATTTCAAATGAGACCAAATGGTGACATAGTCTGGTGTGCCCCTTTAAGGATTTTCTGTTTTATCCATTAGTACTTGAGAAGCCAGGGAAGGTTTTAAAAGAGTGGCATGATTAAATGTGCATATTAAAAAGTCCTCTGGCTGAAATAGGGAGAATAGTGTTATTGAAAGTGCTGGTTGAGCATCATCGAGAGAGAAATTCAGTGAGAAAGAAGCTTGTTTAAAGAATGTTCACTTACCCACTGTTTCTTTCACAAGGAAATCTACACCAGTGTCAACTGAACTACACAGTGTACTTCTTTGCTGGCACAACAAGCACTAGAATAGGAGAGGTGAGAGTTGATAGAGAAAAAACAGGAGCCTGCCTTAAAATAAGGGAGAGTCCACCCAGAGGCCTAGACTAGAGTAGTATTGACAGTAAGGATGGTGGAAAGTAGTGGGCAGATTTGAGGAGAAACTATTGTATTTGTTTTGGAAGATGAGAGATAGGGAAGAGTCTAGGACCAATAATATTGAATGTTTAAGAGATACACAGTGATACGGTAGCATGCATACTTCCTTTCCATGTTTGACTATTTGCTTATGAAATTAACATTTTCATGTGTAACCCAAAAATGTAGGTCATAAAATAAAGTAAAAATACATTTCTATTTTATAAACAAACAATATGAACTAACTCCTCTCCTAAGACATTGGTAGACTTCTTTATTCCCATATACAACTTATGTTGCCTGAACTAAACTATCTTCATTTTTCTTATCTCTTAGCCCACTCTGGACTAGGTCTCACTAATAATTTTCTGAAACTGCTCTTGCTAACATGAGTTGTCACTCCTGTATTCCTTTTTCTTGGCATATGATCATTTCCTCCTTGAAATACTCTCTACTTTTGAACTATTTGACACTAATTTTGTGGTTTTCACTTACTTCTGTAGTCTATCTCTCCTACCAGCCCCTCTCTTTGTAAAAAAATTTCAACTGTTTCTGTGGTCTCAGTTAACATTTACATGTTGATGCTTCTCAAATTATCTCCAGTCCAAATCTCATTGAGTTCTGGACCTATAGGCCAAGTGTCTCAGTATTCCCCTGGCCTCTCCAGTTCCTCAGATTTATATTAAAACTGTACTAAAGAATTTGCCCTTCCCTCAAACTTACTCCTATTCCCACATGCCTTTTCTCAGTAAATGAGAACATCATCTACCCAGAAATCGGAAGGTCATCCTTCCTTAACTTCCTACCATTCCCTTTTGACTCGATTACAACAGCCTCTTAACTGGTTCACTGCTTCCATTCATGTACTTCCTAACTTCTGTAATCAGTGATGTGTTGCTAAATGTTTAACAACAGAATCTCCAAGGAAGGGGAAAGCCCTGATTCATAGTATTTGCCCTAATTCTGTAATAAAATACTCCCTACATTATCTGGTTTCAAACTACCAACCTGACATCACTAATCATAAAGTTGGGAAGGAATGTGCAGTACCACACTATTCTATATAGCCTTTATACCATATAGATATAACAGACATACATAGTTTTAAGAATAAGATAATGCCCCAGCTGGTGTGGCTCAGTCGGTTGAGCATCATCCCATGCACTGGGAGGTCGCCGGTTCAATTCCTGGTGGGAGCACGTGCCTCCGTTCCCAGTAGGGGACATGCAGGAGGTAGCCAATTGGTGGTTCTCTCTCACTGATGTTCTCCCTCTCCCTCTCTCCTGAAATCAGTAAAACCATATTTTTAAAAATCAGCTCTAAATCGTGACTGATAATGGTTTGCCAATGCCATTTTGGATACAGTTCAAAATTACTCTTTAACTTAGAAAGTTCTCTTGCATCATTTCATGTCATTACTCTTCACTGTTCCCACCCTAATTCCTCTAGCTAATTCCTACTATCCTAAAGCCTCCTGACTAGATTATCTCTTCCTGCTTTATGGTTCCATTCAACCTTGTACTTAACCTTTTTTAGAACACCCATGACATTTGTAATTACTTTTATAATAACAAATAACATTTATCTAGTATTTACCATAAACTGTCTCATTTAACCACACTAGATACCATTAAAATGGTACCTTATAGGTGATAAAAACTAAAGACTAAAAAGGTTGCATAACTTGCCTAAAGTTACCTAGCTGTTATGTAAAGTAACCAGGATTGACACCCTGATTTGACTTGAGAGACAACAGTTCTCAGCCGTTCTTTTCTGTTGCATCAAGTTGTTCAATTCTCTGTCCTCCCCATTACAGTGTGCCCTTAGTAGAAGGTAGATACCGTAAAAGTAGGTCAGTTTTATTTACCACTTGGGACAGTTCCTAGGGCAGTGCTTGGAACATATGGGCATTCAGCCATTTATTAAAGACCCAAGGCAAATAGCATTGCTTAAAATACTGAGTGATTTTTTCCAAACATCTAATGTTTCTGAAAGCCTACTTTTATTATGGTGTAGACAAACATATATCCATCTGTGGCCACCCTGTTATTTTTTAAATACTTAGAGGACGATTTATTATAAATTCAACTATGGGCTATCTCTACCCCCCTTTGAACATACTAAGAAAAATCCAAACAACACATGCGAAATATGATTATGGAAAAATTAAATATAAAATTGTTGATTAGCCCAGCCAGCATGACTCAGTGGTTGAGTGTCGACCTATGAAACAGGAGGTCACAATGCAATTCCCAGTCAGCACATGCCCAGGTTGCAGGCTCAACCCCAGTGTGAGGTGTTCAGGAAGCAATGATTCTCTCTCATCATTGATGTTTCTATCTTTCCCTCTCCCTTCCTCTCTGAAATCAATAAAATATATATATAAAAAATAAGTAAAATTGTTGATTATTATTCTATTCAAACACAGATAACTAAAGATTACTTAGTAATGCTAAGCTAGCCCCATTAGTTCACTTTTCATTGATTCACTCAGAAAAGCTCACTGAGTGCTTACTTAATATGATAAAGTAGTAAAGAACAGTTCTAACCAGGAAAAACATGATACAGTGGTGGAGATAGAAAAGCAAGCAATTAGAATACAGTGGTGTTAATTCTTTATCATATAGAAACATCTAACCTCGTCTTCTGATCATGAAAAACTTCTTTAGGAAGATGAGATTCCTAAATTGAGTCTTAAAAGAAGGAAATAAAATTTGGTTAAGGTTCAGTTGGAGGTACTGATTGCATAATTAGGGAGCTCGTTTTAAAAAACTAAAGAAAAAAAGGGTTAAATATCTGAAAGACAGCCTTCATATTTCTGAAGTCTTATACAAATGATAATCCAATAATAGTACTTAGTTTATAAGTTCTGCATCTTTATTGAGGCCCCCAACAAGAAGAAATTCATAAGTTTAGTTTAGTGTTTATAAACTGAAGCTTGATTTTTTTAGCTTAGGGCACAGGAAATATTTCCAAACCATTAAATATTGGAACAGATCTTTGAAATGAGAATACATTTTATTAAAAGGTGAGGGGTAAACAGATAAATTCATCAGGAGTTTCTAATTAAATAGAAAAAAACATTTATGAAAACGTGAACTACAGAGTGACAAACAAATGCTAATAATATATTCAGGTCGGGATATGTTTGGAGTTGAGGGGACAGGGACAAGAGACTGGAAGGTATTTACCAGTAAATCTGGGCTTTCATCTCTTTGTGCCCCTCATTGCCGGTCATTTAAGCAAACTGGATATCTGATAATAGCCAAAGCTGTTACCTAGTGAAGCTTCAGTTGGGGAGCCACATGATCTTCTAACATGAATGATTCTTTTTAAACACTACTCAGTTCATTAGGTAATCAAACTAAAGAAGAGTTGAACTCAAAGTTGTTACATGTGAATGTTGATTATTATGTTTCCAATCAGTCAACACAGTTACCACTAATTTTGACAGTCCCTTATATTCTTCTCTTCCTTAACTGGGTACACATTAGTATATTTTATATTTGAAATAAATATGAAAGGAAAAACATTCCTGCTGGGCTTGTCAGCAGCATTTTACTTTTTGTAATAATTATGATTTCTACTGTATTACGTAGCTTAAGAGTTCATTTTTTAAAAAATATAGGCTGTTTACATGGAAGTAATACAGTGCATTCTTAATTTACATATTCTGTCTCATTTTAATTAAGCAAATTTTTGTTAAGTCCTTATTCAAGGCAACTGTACTACGTGTTAAAGAGATAAGCCCTAGCCAGCCTTGCTTAGTGAGGCCCCGGGGCCCTGAGCACCAAAGGGTCTCTGGTTGGGTTCCCAGTCAAGGGCACATACCTGAGTTGCAGGTTTGATCCCTGGCCCCGGTCAGAGTGCATTCTGGAGGCAACCAATCAATGTGTTTCACATGGATGTTTCTCTCTCTCTCTCTCTCTCTCTCTCTCCCTCCCCCATTCTCTTTCCTCCCTCCCATTCTCTCTCAATGGGCCCAGCTGGTGTTGCTCAGTGGTTGAGCATCAATCCATGAACCTGGATGTCAGAATTTGAATCCTGGTCAGGGCACATGCCCAGGTGTGGGCTCTATTCCCAGTAGGGTGGCGTGCAGGAGGCAAGCAATCGATGATTCTCATCATTGATGTTTCTAACTCTCTCTCCCTTTCCCTGTCTCCAAAGTCAATAAAAACACTTTAAAAATCAATGGAAAAAATACCCTTGGGTGAGCATTAACAAAATAAACAAACAAAAAAGATAGAGATAAAAAGATACAGTGATTCCTGTCCTCAAGAAACTTATAATCTACTTTTATTTCAAAACAAAAACAGTATGGTAAGTGTCATAATGAAGGAACACAGAGGAATACCAGAATCTATTTAGGCTTTCCTTGATAAAATTTAATCTGTAGATAATTTGATTTATCTTTTTTTAAAATATATTTTTATTGATTTCAGAGAGGAAGGGGAAGAGAGGGATAGAAACATCAATGATGAGAGGGAATCATTGATCAGCTGCCTCCTGCACAACCCCTACTGGGGATCGAGCCTGCAACCTGGGCATTAATTTGATTTATCTTGACCATGTACTAATATATCAGCAGCAGATCTGTGCAATGTAGTTACTCCTGCTTATACAGCTCTACATAAGCTTGATCTAGTTTAGTCATTTTTTTTAAATTTTTTTTTTACAGAGAGAGGAAAAGGGGGGCAGGGGTAGATTGATTTGTTGTTCCACTTGTTTATGCATTCATTGGTTGATTCTTGTGCCCTGACTAGAGATGGAACCAGCAACCTTGGTGTATTGGGACGATGCTCTAACCAACAGAGAACTACCCAGCCAGGGCCTAGATTACTGTAGTCTTGTTTATTTTTACTGCCCAGGTTAAGGACTGGAGTAGGAAGAAAGATCTCTTTTTAAAACCCTGAAAAATAAGACCACTCAAGTCCATTTTTTATTAATTTTTTACAACTTATAAAAATTAGCATGAATTGGTTTCTGTGACAATGTCTGGATATTGGAAATGTAACATTTTGTATGTAAATTGAAGACACTTTAAAATATGTTTTTATTGGTTTTAGGGAGAGGGATATAGAGATGGAAACATCAGTGAGAGAGAAACATTAATCAGCTGCCTCCTGCTCATCCCCTACTGGGGATCGAGCCCTGAACGTGGGCATGTGCCCTGATCGGGAATCAAACCAGGGACCTCTCAATTCGTGGGTCAACACTCAACCACTGAGCCACACCGACTGGGCTGAAGACACTTTAAATCATCACCACTTAAAATTTGTTTTAACCATTTAGGTGCAACCAGAACTGTGATAGTTGGAATTTGAGGGTTTTTTTGTTTTTTTGTTTTTCTAAGGTTTCCTTTGGATCCTAAAAGAAGAAAAGAATGGGTTCGCCTGGTTAGGCGCAAAAATTTTGTGCCAGGAAAACACACTTTTCTTTGTTCAAAGCACTTTGAAGCCTCCTGTTTTGACCTAACAGGACAAACTCGACGACTTAAAATGGATGCTGTTCCAACCATTTTTGATTTTTGTACCCATATAAAGTCTATGGTAGGTAATGACATATTCAAGCTAGATATAATATAGGCCTGATGGGAATAGCATTAAGAATGCTAAAGAGGCGGGTGGGGTGAAGGGGACTGAATATATGGTAAAGGGAGAAGATTTGACTTTGGGTGGTGGGCACAGTGCAATATACAGATCTTGTAACATAGAATCCCACACCTGAAACCTATATGATCATATTAACCAATGTCACCCCAATAGATTTAATAATAATTTTTTAAAAGAGTGTTAGAGGAGATGATTCATGATAGAGATATATAGGATGTAGAATTAATACGACTTGATGACTCATTGAATGAAAGTAATAAAGGAAAAAGGTTCCTCAGGTTTCTGATTTGGGCAAAAATTTCTGCCCGCATTTTAAGTCCTTGAGTGGAAGCTATAACTGAACAATTAATAAGTACTAAATCTATTCAGGGGCTTGATACTTGGGAATATATTTTTATTAAGTAGGATCCAAGGTCTGAAATATTAATTGAGCAAATAATATTTACCTACAAAAGAGATCAAATCAGTATCACATAAATGTCTAAATACATTATTTGGCCTTAGACAATTACAAAAGATATTTAAAGTCTCCATAAAATCATAATAATTTGGAAGGACCTTGGAAGTCCAGTGTCTATTTCCAAACCAATGTTAGTATCTCTCTAGAGGGAAAACAAAAAGAAATAGGTGGCTGGAGTTAATTCAACCACTTGAGAAACTTGAATCTATGATTACATGAGATGGGTTGGTGATGTTTGCTATCTTTTAAAATCAGTTTTTAAAAGAGCAATTTAAATACTGTTATTTAAACTGGACAAAATTTATTTGTGATATTGCATAACTTATGTACAACCCTCTAATATTATTTGGCACAGAAACTCAAGTCACGGAATCTTCTGAAGAAAAGTAACAGTTGTACTCCAACCGGACCTTCTAATTTAAAATCAAATATTAATAGTCAACAAGTGCTACTTGAACACAGTTATGCCTTTAGGAATCCTATGGAGGCAAAAAAGAGGATAATTAAACTGGAAAAAGAAATAGCAAGTTTAAGAAGGAAAATGAAAACTTGCCTACAAAAAGAACGCAGAGCAACTCGAAGATGGATCAAAGCCACTTGCTTGGTGAAGAATCTAGAAGCAAATAACATATTACCTAAAGGCACATCTGAACACATTTTACCAACTGCCTTAAGCAGTCTTCCTTTGGAGGATTTCAAGATTCTTGAACAAGACCAACAAGAGAAAACATTACCGATTCTCTAAATATAAACCAGATCAAGAGTGCTTTTATTTAAGGTTAGCCTGCACACAAAAAGAAAAAAAAAGATTAGCTTGCATCGATCTTGATGCCCATCATTTATTCTATTCAAAGGTAAAGATATTTAAGGAAATAATGCCAAAATTGGGTATTTAATAAAGTTTTACTTGAAGTAACGTTCTTACTGTATAACTTATGAAGACTTGATTACAAAAATAGAAAACTTTATGAAACTTATTTGAAAAAGCATGGAAGTGCCTTACATGAGAATTGCATACATTAAAAATTTGCTAGGAAGTTTTGCAAGATGTGTTTTTGCCTTTTTAAACAACTTTTGAAGAACAGTCTATAACAAGTAATGTGTTTAATTTATATTAGAAAAAAATGTTTTTGTGTACCAAAGTTGAGACATTACATTCTAAGTAAGGTAAGTAGGAGTTAACCAATATTAAATATGACTTTAAAACTGCTGGGGTTTGTATTAAATTATTACTGACACTGTGATTTGGAAACTTTACAGAAAAAAAGCCTGAGGTGCAGGGCAAGTTCTTTTATTTAAACTTTCTATATCTTTTTAACAGTAAAAGTGAGCTAATCATAATCTCCCTCATAAGAATATTATCTTTTAAAATGGATTGTAAAATATTTTGAAAATATTTTAAATATGAAGTACCCTTGAGTCATCCAAGCTAGTAAGGACTCAAGTACCTCAGACTAGTAAAAACTGGTAGCTGGTTATATTAACCTTCTAAGAAAATATGTTGTGAAATAATGCAGAGATCAGGATCTAACTTTTACCTTTAACAAAAAGGTAACTGTATACTACTCTTTTACTAAAAAAAAATTTTTTTTAATTTCAAAATTGATGCATTAGTAAGCAAATATGCTACCAGTTCCGTTAGAAAACTCCCTCTGCCTTCATGTATGTTGATACCAAAACTTTTAAGCTTTCCCTACCCCCAAAAACCTACAGTAGAATTTAATCATAAAACAGTACTTACTATATTATATCTTTACAACTTATAACTTAAAATGGAATCCGTTTTTCTTACACATCAGCTTGCTTTTTATTTCCTTTCTTAGTAAGAGTAGAATAGAACAACCGTACTGCATAAGGGAAATAAAATGTACTTCTCTACAAAAACACGTGTCTGTGAAAAAAGCTATGCAAGTGCTAATTATTTTACAAAATAGAATATCAGAACTATTCTTATAGTCGCCACTTGAACAATTAAAGAGTTTGCCTTACTTCACCAGATAAATGTTTAATAAGAACACTTCAAATAGTTTTGATCAAATCCAGCAAAAATTTACTAATGTATCATGATGTATCATGAAGTTATTTAATCCTGATTCAAGCTTTCTGACACCACCATATAAAAGTAACATACACCTAATCGTAAATTGCTATAGGAAAGCCTATAAAGTAAATGCTACTTGATGATTTAAAAAAAAAAATACTTCCTCCCTCCCTCCTTCCCCCCCCAACTGTTTAGATTGCTGGGTTGTTGTTCTTTTTATTTTATTGATGGGTGTGAGAGAGAGAGCCATCGATTTGTTGTTTCACTTATTTATGCATTCATTGGTTGATTCTTATATGTGCCCTGACCAGGGATTGAACCCCGCAACCTTGGTGTATCAGGACGACACTCGAACCAACTGAGCTACCTGGCCAGAGCTTAGACTGCTGTTTTGCTTTGATCCTAGCAACAGTCTTTTTATATTATTGACACCCTCTTTTAATAAGGAATGCCTCCCAAGCAACTAGATTTCACAAAGGCAAGGGTAGGAAAGTCTGTTTTAATTGTAAGGCACTTACAACAAATATTTATGAAAATCCTTTTGTGTATACAGGGTGGGGCAAAAGTAGGTTCACAGTTGTGAGTACATGAAGCAGAGTTCTTATTTATTAATTATTGTATTATTTTCCATATGAACAACTATAAACCTACTTTTGCTCCACCCTGTATTGTAAACCTTGTTAGTCATTTTATCATAAATATTATATTCAGCTCCATGTTGTTGTTTTTTCTAATATGGCTTCAAATTATCTTTTTACCAATACCTAGTCAATATTCATCAGCAAACACTTATTGACCATATCTACTTTATACCTCAAAGTAAGTTAGATAAATAATCATTTAAACATAAACTATGCTTTCCAAATACAGATTCTCATATAGTTCACCACCTCTCCCCAAAACAAACACTAATGTAGACTGATTCCCATTTACAATAATAACTTGCTATCTTAATATAACATTTTAAAAGTCACAAAAATAGACCATTATGAAATACAACAACCTTTCAGCAATCTCCATTATTATTTGAGACCACTAAATAAACTGCCACTGAGTAATTTTAAAGTGAAAAATTTTTGGTATTTTCCCTATGTAATTTTCATGTTACTGTTCTGATAACATGTTCCAAACTCTCTACATCAGGTTCTTTCATTAACACACATCTGTCTACCTTAAAAATAGCCTTATTCATAGAATAAAATCTAAAAAGAAACTTAAAATTCTATTTTTAGTTTATTGATAAACATCACTTTGACCATATACTATAAACTAATCAGAATTATACTAGCTCTTTTTCCTCTGCTGGACACAACACATATCCTCTGTTCATTCATTCTATATATACTCTGTTCACTAACCTCTACAAAGAACCAGCCAAGCCTGGCAGGTATGGCTCAGAAGTTGAATCTCAGTCTATGAACCAGGAGGTCATGGTTCGATTCCCGGTCAAGGCACATGCCCGGGTTGTGGTTTTGATCCCCACTGTGGGGCGTGCAGGAGGCATCTGATCAATTATTCTCTCTCATCATTGATGTTTCTACCTCTCCCTCTTCCTCTCTGAAATCAATAAAAATAAAAATATATTTTAAAAAAAGAACCAGCCAAAGGCTATAGTGACTTGATATAAAGATGAATCTAGCCTGCCCAGTGTGGCTCAGCTGGTTGAGTGTCATTCCTTGCACCAAGAAGTCACTAATTTGATTCCCAGTCAGGGCACATGCCCAGTTTGTAGGCTTGATCCCCAATGGTGGTATGCAGGAATCAGTCAGTCAATCTCATCAATGTGTCTATCCCTCTCCTCCCTCTAAAAACAAATCAATAAAAACATTTTAAAAATAAGTAAAATGCTTTAAAAAAAATTAGATGAATCTGACTCAATTTTTTACCCTTAAGTTGCTCAGTCTCCTGAGAGAGAAAAAAAATATTTATTATACAACATGATAAATGCTATAAAGGACATATGTGTGAAGTACTTTGGTAAATTGTGTTGAATTGGAATTTAATGAGAATATAAACTTTAGACCTTCTTATGAAACTAGAGGCCCGATGCACGAAATTTGTGCAAGGGGCTCGGCCCTCGCAGCCCCGGTTGCCTTGGACAGCCTGCGTACCCCTGGCCAGCCCTCACCACCCCAGCTTCGTCCAGAAGGTCATCTGGAAGGACGCCGGAAGGTCGTCTGGCTGTTCGGTCTAATTAGCATATTAATTCTTTATTATATAGGATACTTCTCTTTTGAAACAGAGATTTCTTATGACTTAACCAAAGGAAGTAAAAGGACACTAATGTTGACCTGAATTACATAGTGGTTTTTTTTTAATGAGTTGTAAGATATTTTTCCCTTTAAAATGAACAGTGAACAAATTTGTTGTTAATGGTATCTTTGTTAACAGTAAATATAACTAAATAAAATACTACATCAAAGCCAAGGAGTTTATTTGATGCTTTTACAAAATAACAAACCCTACTAACTCAGATCTTTAAAAATATTTTAGCTTAGAAGTCTTAGAGTTAACAAAGCACTAGGGCACCCATTGGTTCTCTAGGTTGCTCTTTACAAATATTCTGTATGATAGGTGGTATCACCTCTAATTTACAGCTGAAGAAATCTGTGTTGATGTAACTTATTTATTCATTCAGACATTTACAGTTAGACAACTGGCACAAGGGATAGAATGTCAGTAATGTAGGAGGTTCTAGATTGAACATTGGTCTTCAGCCTTCAAGTCTTCCATTCACCCACCACATTATAACCCTCTGTTAAATATGTAAATCATGTTATTAAAAGAAAAAGTCATGTCCAAAAAAACTAATATAAAATATTATATATATATATATATATATATATATATATATATATATAGAGTAAAAGTAGTCTATGAAGTCATCATTGATCTTTTCTAGGTAGACTTTTTAATGTTGATATTTTATCTCATTTCTCAATATTAGAATACGGGTAAACTTTAATTTTGGTGTAATATATAGAAAATGGTTCAATTTTATGCCAGAGTATGGGTTTCTTTTGGTATTTAGATAGTTTGGAAACTTTCTAAAATTAATGATTTTATAATTTATATTTTAAAATTATATATTGTATTCACACAGAAATTGTATTCTGAGTATGTTGATATTAAAACCTGTTTTCCAAGGACATTAGTATCATGCCTATTATTTCCAAAAAATGTACATGAAAATTTCAGTGGAAGTCCTTCCTCTAAGTTGACCCTCTGAAATACTTCTGTAGAAGTTCTTCTCCCTAAATTGAAGCAAACTGTAAATAAAAATATGTAAAAGCCTGGAGGAGGAATGTTCATTATCATTTTTGTTACTTATATCTAAACATCCATTATAGTTTATTTGTACTGTTTTAAATACTGGTTATGTAATCTAAATCAGATATACTAAAAATTCTGTCTACCCTGACAATAATTTGAGGCTAACAAAAAGATTACTTTGTAGATACAATTATCAAAGCATCTACACTAATAAAAGAGAAACATGGTAATTAGCGTACGACCGCTACCCTTCCCATTGGCTAATCAGCATACCCTTATGCAAATTAACTGTCAGCCAAGATGGCGGCCAGCAGCCATGCACTGAAGCGAACAGGGAGGCTTGCTTGCTCCAGTGATGGCGAACTCCAACGTTCCCCGCCTGACTTGCCGGCCTCTCAGCTGCAACTATGTTGCAAATATAGAAGCTAAACAAAACCCTAGAAACCGGCTTTCAGTCAGCCAGGCTTCAGCCAGCCGGACCGCAACATTGTATCAAATACAGAAGGTAAAGGTCAGAAACCTGCTTTCAGCAGCGAGGCCTCAGAGCTAAAGCTGGCCCAGAATAGAAAAAAGAAAAAAAGGAGCGGTTGGGAGCTTCAGTCCCCGGCCAGCCTGAAAACGGCCCTCAGCCCCTCAGCCAGACTGGCCAGGCACCCCAGTGGGGACCCCCACCCTGATCCAGGACACCCTTCAGGGCAAAGCAGCTGGCCCCCACCCGTGCACCAGGCCTCTATTCTATGTAGTAAAAGGGTAATATGCCTCCCGGCACCGGGATCAGAGTGACAGGGGGGAGCTCCCCAACCCCCTGATCGACCCTGCTCTGTGTGTGACAGGGGGCGGGGCCACAACCTCCCTATCTGCCCTGCTCTGTACGTGACAGGGGTAGGCGCCCCAAACCCCTGATCAGCCCTGCTCTGTGCCTGATGGGAAGCTCCCCAATCCCCTGATCACCCTGCGAATCTGTGTTTGACAGGGTGCGGCGCCCCAACCCCCTGATCGGCCCTGCTCTGTGCGTGACAGGGGGTGGCGCCGCAACCTCCCCATCGACCCTGCCTTGAGTGTGACAGGGGGCGGTGCCCCAACCCCCCAATTGGCCCTACCCTGAGCGTGACTGAGGGTGGCATCGCAACCTCCTGATCCACCCTGCTCTGTGCATGACGGGGCGGCACCCCAACTCCCCAATTGGCCCTGCTCTGAGCCTGACCAGGGGCTGCACCTAGGGATTGGGCGTGCCCTCTGCCACCCGGGAGCAGGCCTAAGCCAGCAGGTCGTTATCTCCCAAGGGGTCCCAGACTGCAAGAGGGCACAGGCTGGGCTGGGGGACCCCCCTCCCCCCCCCCCCCAGTGCACAAATTTTTGTGCACCGGGCCTCTAGTTATTCTAATAAAAAGGGATATAAGATGTGATTCTTCTTAATTTTTGTCTGATTAAAATATTACTTAATACTTTAATTCGAAACATACTATCTTAACATTCACTAAGAGACATTGAGCAAACTAGAAAGAACTATACAGACATGATCCCTGTCCTCAAGGTTACTGGGGAAAAAATACTCCATTTGTTTATTCCTGCCCTCACTGTTCCATACCCTCTTCCTAATGCCCTTTTAGAATGAGTTGACTCTAATTCAACATATCAGTCCTCAATTTACTGCCTAGGCCTCAATTGTGCTCAATAACTTTTTAAAAATCTTTGTGTTTAATGTCAAGAAAGTAGATATATATGCCTATCTCTCAGATTGTCAGTGTAATTATTTAGATAATACTTCAAACTTTAACTCTTCCATTCTCTTCAACTTCCTATTTTTCATGTTCTTTTTTTTAATATATATATTTTATTGATTTTTTACAGAGATGAAGGGAGAGGGACAGAGAGCTAGAAGCATCGATGAGAGAGAAGCAGCGATCAGCTGCCTCCTGCACATCCCCTACTGGTGATGTGCCTGCAACCAAGGTACATGCCATTGACTGGAATCGAACCCGGGACTCTTCAGTCCCCAGGCCGACACTCTATCCACTGAGCCAAACCGGCTAGGGCTTTTTCATGTTCTTCTTAACCATCAAACCTTTACAGATTGCCTTTCACTTAGTTTGGTAACAACAAACTCCTTATCATCCTTCAAGCCTTAGCTCTCTGACACCTTCAACATAGATTTTTAACCTTTTTCATCTCATGCACACATTCATTACTAAAATTCTGCAGCACACCAAAAATACATATTTTTTGGTCAATCTGACACACAAAAAAGGTATAATTTTTACTCATTCACAGCAGATGGCTTTGTGTTGGCTGTAGTCATTTTTTTTTTTAATTTGACAATCTAAGGGAAAAATAGGTATTGTATGTTTTAAAAATTCTTGCAGCACACCAGTTGAAAATCGCTGCTTTAACATTCCGAATCAATATAGCTGCTTTACTCCTTGAATCCTGTTTTATACATAAGGATAAAGTTGGATAATGTAATTGTCTACATATCTATTCTTATCTTCTACTAGAGGCCCGGTGAGAGACCCTGGTGGGGTCTCTCAGCCTGGCCTGCTGGAATCGGGCCAAAACCAGCTCTCTGGCATCCCCCAAAGGGTCCCAAATTGCGAGAGGGCAGGTCTCAGGTGACACACCCCAGAATCGGGCTCCCTCCTCTGTGGTTCCGCAGCTGCCAAGTCAACGCAGCTTGGCAGCTCCTTGCGTTGAGCATCTGCCCCCTGGTGGTCAGTGAGTGTCATAGCTACTGGATGGTCAGTCAGTCGGACAATCACTTAGGCTTTTATATATATACAGTAGGTCCTCGGGTTAAGTCGGAGATCCGTTCCTATGGCGCAAAGTAACACAATTTTTGCCGTAAGTCAGAACCCACCTACATAAGCACCTACGTCACTCACATGGAGCACATACACAGCAGTAATTAAGTGAAACAGTAAAATAAATTTAAAAGATAATTCCTGAACTTTACTTGTGGTAAATAAATAATAAAAAACATAAAGCACATATGTACATACGTTGAAATGATGGAACTTTATTTTATAAATAACCTAGAGGCCCAGTGCACAAAAATTTGTGCACTTGGGGGGGCAATACCTCAGCCCAGCCTGTGCCCTCTTGCAGTCTGGGACCCCTTGGGGGATGACCACCTGCTGGCTTAGGCTCGCTGCCCGGGGGATTGGCCTAAGCTGGCAATCAGACATTCCTCTGGCAGCCCAGGAGCCCTTGGGGGATGTCCACTTGCCAGCAGGGAGCAGGCCTAAGCTGCAGTCGGACATCCTTAGTGCTGCTGAGAAGGCGGGAGAGGCTCCCACCACCACCGCTGTACTGGCAGCCATCAGCCTGGCTTATGGCTGAGCAGAGCTCCCCCTGTGGGAGAGCACTGACTACCAGGGGGCAGGTCCTACATTGAGCGTCTGCCCCCTAGTGGTCAGTGTGTGTCATAGTGACCAGTCATTCCCAGTCTTTCTGCTGTTAGGGTCAGTTTGCATATTACCCTTTTATTATATAGGACTAGAGGCACGGTGCACGAAATTCATGCATAGGTGGGGGGGGGGGTCCCTCAGCCCGACCTGCACCCTCTCCAATCTGGGAGCCCTCAGGAGATGTCCTACTGACGGCTTGTGCCTGCTCCCCATGGTTCTCTGCTCTCTGCGGGGCTTGCCTGCTCATTATGGCGATGGCCAAGCAGGCCCTGCTGGGTGCTGCCTGCGGGCCGTGCTTGCCTGCTGGGCTCACGTTGCCAGGGTGACGCCGCTAGTGTCCTGCCCCGGCCACTATGGGCACTGCCATCTTTGTCGTGGAGTGACAGGGTGACGGTTAATTTGCATATCACTCTTTTATTAGATAGGATGGGAGGTGCTGATGTAACCATGAAACGATGTATGTCGAGTCCCACGTAACCTGAGGACTGTCTGTAGATGTTCCTTCAAGGCAGTGTATGTAGATGTTTTGTTTTTTTCTTTTTCGGTCTAACATATATATTAGGCACTCAGATATTAGATTTCAGAAAATCTAAACCACTCTTTTGGTTTAGATTCAAAGGAATTGCACATAGAATCCATTGATACTCTCCCGCAATGGTAAGTGCTTTTTGCTATCGGGATAACTGTTATAATTGGTGTTAAGTACCAAATGTCTATCCCAGAAAAGTCCAAACTTGTTTATGTCAAAGA